TATATCAAGGAGTAATACCAGTTTCTGAAAGCAGAGGTCAGGTTTCAAACTGAATAGCTAGTGCTAATTCATGAGCAGTGCAAGGTGATGGTGCTTCCACAGAATGAGACACAGTTCTAAGAAGAGGGCTAGTGAAATGGGGCGTGCCTGGATTTCCAAGTGGGGAAAAACATATTGATAGGTTTCCAATTGCTGACTATGGCGCGGGATAAAAGACAGTATATTTTCTGCTTGACTTAATAACAGTGGTGGTTTATGCCCATGGGGGCTGTTTGGGTAGATGGTCGGCCAACTAAGGATAGGCACAATGGCAGACAAGTGGGCGGAGCAACTAGGTCAATGAGGATTGGGTGGGTGAGGAGAACGGAATGTTTTATCCTGAAAAAAGGCGTGTCTGCCGAGACCCCTAGATCACTCAGTGGCTTTTAATACCATCACTCAAGGTATCCTTCTGGGATGACTGACTTTGGAGAGGGGAATACAGCACTGCAGTGACTGTACTCCTGTTTGGATGGTCAGCCCCAGAAGGTGGTGCTTATGCAGTACTGCCTGGCTGCTTGGATTCTCCAGAATGGGCTTCCTCAAGAGTCACCCTTGTGGGAATTCATTGCTGGGTCATGCTGTACTCACGTACCACACGAAGACCAAGAGTATTGTAATTTACCTATGTAACCATATAAGGCTTGTAACCATATAAGGCTTGTAACCATATAAGGCTTGTAACCTAAGCATTAAGGTGTTGGCTGCTTGTGTACGATGGCTAATTGGCTGTATTCAAATGCCTAGGTAAAAAGTGTGAAGTAATAAAAGCAGATGCCGGTGGTGAGGGGGGGGAGGAGAGCAAGAAGAGAGAAGAAGAAAAAACCTTGGGGGAAGAAGTTTTTGCTGTTCTCCCCCTGCAACTAAACCGAGCATGCTTTGTAACTGATTTCTGGACTGCAGTCTTTTTTTCTTTCTTTAAACTTTCTCGCGCCGCTTGCCGAGGTTGACTGGCTGGCCCAGCCAACCCGCCACACACCCTTGCCTCCCATGTTCTGTAACATCTACAGGAAACCACTGAATGGAGCCATCCCTAGTTTTGGAGTGCAATCGTTGGCATGCTAATGACACACAGCTCAGCTTTTCTTTTTCATCTCCAACAGATGAGGCTGTGGATGTGCTAAACCAGGGCCTGGCTGTGATGATGGACTGAATGAGGGCTGAAAAAGGTCAATCCAGACAAGACTGTGCTGTTGGTGGGCGAGTTCCTTGAATGGCGGATGTTCAGCCTGTTATGGAGGTGTTACACTCCCCTTGAGGGAACAGCTTCATAGTCTGGGAGTCCTCCTTGAACCGTCTTTGTCATTCGAGGCTCAGGTGGCCTGAGCGGCTCAGAGTGCCTCCTACCAGCTTTGGCCACTGGCCCAGCTACTGCTCTGTCTGGACAGGAAAACTGTGGATTCAGTAATCTAGACGCTGATAGTTTCTAAGCTAAACTGCATGCCTGTGAAGACTGTTTAAATGCTGCAGCTTGTGAAAAATGTAGCAGCTGTGACCAGAAGGTCCAGACACGTAGCATCAATTCTGGCCTGCTTGCATTGTCAGCTTATGTGTTTCTGAACCCAGTTCAAGGTGCTGATCTGAACAGCCCTATACAACTTGGGATGGCAATACTAGATGGAAATTTCTCTGAGCCGCCATGAACCCAGACGCTATGATCCATTTCTGGGGCCCACCTCTGCTTGCCACTGTTGGGGAAATCCAAATATAGGAAAAGGTTGCTCATGTGTGCCTTTGTGATATAAAATCAAAACCTACCGTGCCCCTGCGCCTCTTGCCCAGAACGATCCAGGACTCTCCATCAGGCTCCTTTCCCCTGAAGCTTGTCATTCATCTGTCCCTTTAAGAGAATGAGACCCTCCACTAAAGTTAGTTGCAGAGCAAACAAGTGTTACAATGTATAAAGCCTTCTCCTTCCTGTTCTGCCTTCTCTTGCATGTCAAAGCCAGCCCTATGTGACGCATGTACCTCTCTGTTTGCTATATCAATACTCTGTTAATCTCTGATATTTACTGTAACACGCTGTAACCCTCTGCAGTTAACTGATATTATTCTGTTTATGGATGCTTTATCTTTCGAAATGTACCTGTTCTTCCCTCGTCATCAACCCTGTTCTTGTGCACGTGTCTCAAAACCTATACACTCTGTATATGTTGTGGAACTTCGTAGCTGGTTGGTGTACCTCCCGCTGGCAGCAGTTGTAGGTTTGTACTCTGCAGAAGGGTTTACCCTAGGTAGTTCTCACCAATAAAACTGCTGAGGTTTGAGGCAAAGGTGTCTCCATGTGGATCTAAGTGTTTGTACTCATGGCTGAGAAACCAGGATTCCCTGACACCAACTCTAAGGAGGATCTTGCCGCAAGGAGGGGCAGCTCCCCAGTTATGGAACAAGTTCTCTGACTAAGGCTACCTGGCAGCAGCTCTGCTATCATTTTAGCACCAGGCTAAGACTGTCCTCTGCAACAGGGCATTTAATCAGCCTTAAATAGTATATTGGGGTGACATGTTAGCTGTCTAACAAGTCTCATATCTTAGGGTATGAGTTACGTTAGTCATTAAATTCAGTTTTAAATCTGGATTTTAAATTTTGTATTTTCTCTTTATGATGCTTTTATGTTGTATTTTATTTTTGTGCAGTTGTAAACTGCCCAGAGAGCAGTTTGGGAGATATAGCGGCATGTCTGAAATAAAATCTGGATTCACACTGGAGAAGCCCTTTTCAAGTGATCTTCATGGTGGAAGTGAGAGGTGCCTCAACAGAAAAAATCCTGAATTTTACTATTATCTTTTCCCACAAAAAAGAATTCATAAAATAAAGTAGCAAAAAGGTTCCTGGTTGTTTCTAGATCAGATCTTTTGCAAAACATATTTTTGGGGAGCTTCTAAACGTCTTAAAAATAGCAATTATTCCAAATTCCAATGCTGATGCACTCTGTATTGCACATTGTGAGAGGCTGAGGTTAAAAGACAGTGGCTTACAGAAGCCTGCAGTGAGATTCAGTGCGAATGTCTGGGGCCAGGCTGAGATTTAGAATGGATTGCAACAGTATGGTCCAGTGTTGTTATACCCTGTTTGCAAGGGGAGGATCCAGCTAAGGGTCAGAGAGCATCCCGTATGTCGCCTTGTAAAATAATCCAGGCGCAAGTGGGACTGAAACTGCTTCGAGTTTCTAGCCAAAAATTCCTCTCACAAAAGGTTGCAGGAAAAATCAGTTCCCTTAAAATCCCCCTTCAGGCCCAGGCCCAGGCCCTGTCCCAGCTGAGCACTCTGGGACACCCAAAAGCCGTGTGCTTCAGTGACTTACATACAGCCACGTTGCACTTTGAATGTCTCCCGTCATGCTGCACAACATATTAAAATTCTCACACAAAATAAAGCAGTACTCCTCTCTTTGCTGAGACCTTTCCTTTCTTGATAGTCTGGAATCCAACTATAGCCGTGCTATAGCCCTAGATTTCTATACATAACTATACTTCATCCCAAGAAGAAAAAGAATAAATAGTTCTATAAAGCTGATATCAGCCCTACATCTTGATCCATTTCTGTAAGTCTATGGTGTAAACAAGAGGAAGTACAGGTATTTTGTAGACATAGACTTAGAATTGTAGACATGCAATACTTCGATAAACATGCAGAGAAATTCGAAAGCCAGTCTTACAGCAACCATCGTCCAACCTCCAGTATGGTGATACCCTTAATATAGTAAATGAAAAAAAAAACACTTTAAAATACTGACAATGTTTATCACTATGATATTGTTCTGTCTTATTAAATCAGTAAAGATCAAAAAGGCAAACATTCTAAAATAGTTGTTTATTTGTAATACTTGTATTTCACTTAAAATAATAAAATGCCCAAGCAGTTGCAGTACTTGTTATATAATTAGAACCTGTCGCCTGTCAGTATACATCCTATCTGATAACATGATGCAAACTGGCTGTGAACTCTCTCTCTCTCTCTCTCTCTCTCTCTCTCTCTCTCTCTCTCTCACACACACACACACACACACACACCACAGTAGACTATATGAACATTGGCTACACTGCAGTATGACCCCTCAACCTGCCACATTGACCAGACTATATTCCATTCACTCAGCCAGTCTACAATGTGGGCATAATGAACTCCATCCATCCACCCACCCACTCATTCATCACTTTTGTATGCTGCCCCATAGCCAAAAGCTCTCTGAGGGGCTCACAGTGTGCAGTATTAATATACTTAAAATACAGATAAAATAAATAATAAGAAAAGTATAAAACAATGTAGAATTAAAATACATTATAAATATGACCATATAAACAGGAAATGTCATTTACACTGGAATCTTTCCTGTTAGAACTAATTCTAAATGCTTACAAAGTGAAGCATGCTTAGATTTCATGTGAAGTGAGAAAAGGATGAAATCCCTCTGTTTACTGAAATGGGAGTAGTCACGTGCTATCCAGCCCCGCTGAAACTAAATGCGAACATTTCTGCACTGATTTCTATGGAGTTCTTACTTCCGTCCCAAGGGAGGGAAAAAAATATATTCCAGTGGAAACAGGAACTGGCACCGCGGACTCGTCTACACAAATAAGTCTATGAAAGGGAATCCTCCTTTTCCGTTTTCTCCGTGTGCGCAGGCGCGAGGGGCCGCTCTGCTGCTCAAGATCCCGGAGTCGGCGATCGCCCGGCCCGGTGTTTATCGGCGGGGAAAGTGGCGGGGGCCCGGAGCGTGTCGCCACGGCCTGCCCGGGGAGGGAGGCACCTGTCCCCAGCGGAGCAAGGTGGCGCATCCCGCTCTAGCGACCCCGCCGGTGCCGCCCGCCGTGAGCCCCGCTTGCCGCCCGGGGGCCCCGCTCGCTGGCTGCCCGGCCCCGGTGAGGAGAGGGATCCGCGAGCGGTGCCCAGGCCAGGGACGCGGCAGGGCTGACCGGCTGAGCCCACGCTCGCTCCCCGGCCCGCTGCGTTCCCCGCCCGGCCAGGTGTCCCCGCTGCCGCCTCTGCCCCCGGATGAGCGCGGCCGGCGCGGATCCCCCTCAGGCCGCCGGCGTCAGGGGCGGCCCACCCGGGAGGAAGCCCCTCTGATGCCGGCTCCCCCACGCGGAGCGAGCCGGCCCTCGTGAAGCCCCTGCAGGGGCCGGAGCGCCTCCCCGGCGCAGTCCGCGAGAGCCCCCTCGGCGGCGGCGGCGGCGGCTTCTTCCCCGCGCTGCCGCTCGCGAGCGCGATGACCACGCCGGCTCTGCTGCCTGTCTCCGGGCGCCGGATCCCGCCTCGCAGCGTGGGCCCGTCGTCGTCCTTCCCTCACCACAGGGCTACCCTGAGACTCTCCGAGAAATTCATCCTGCTGCTCATTCTCAGTGCCTTCATCACGTTGTGCTTCGGGGCTTTCTTCTTCCTGCCGGACTCTTCGAAGCACAAGCGCTTCGACCTGGGCTTGGAGGATGTCTTGATTCCCCACGTGGACACCGGCGACGGAGGGAAAAACGTGGGCGGATACTTGATCCATGGGCAAGGCCGAGACCAGCATAGGCACAGGTACGCCTGCCGGATGCGATGCGGAGTACCTGTCAGCCCGGGCGGAGGAACATGCAGGGTGAAAAAGAACCAGTGCGCGCTAGCAGTTCTCATTCCTGGGCGCTCCGGAGAGAGCAGAGCAGCAGTTGCTTTTTAGAGAGATTTGATGGTTGATATAAGCCTGCCTATTTCCCCCTTCACTTCCCTATTCCTGTTAGCAGACTTTTGGACTTCGGAAAACCAAATGTATACTAGTCTGTTGCAGTTCCTTGCTGTAATGCAAGCAGTACCCAAGGGAAAGAATGCAAATGATGTTTTCTTGAGATAGGTTTTTGACTGATTGCGAATTAGAAGGTCTGGTGCCTGCCCATATTAGACATGCAGGTCTGCTGGGCCTTTTATGGGATAACATGTTGCTTTGTGGGGATTGTGCCAGAGACCTTTGTGGATAAACTTTAAGTAACTTTAACCTGGAGAAAGCATATTCAAAGGTTTTCAGGGTAGAAACTTGTTCCACATAGCTGGTGACACTATAACAACATTTATAATGGCTTTCATATGTGTTTGAGTTCAGCTAGATGTAGAGTTGGTGTGTAATTTATGGAACTGAGGCTTTATTGATTAAATTTTTCTTTTCATCACTTGGCTGGGCTTGGTTACTAAATGTTAGTTTCTACCACTTTTTCAAAGAATTGATTTGTGGCACCTTAAGATGACATGTGTTTGTTGTGTGGCAGAGTTTAAGCTAGACCAGTCTTCTCTGACATAAGTTTTTCCAAGCTGGATCACAGAAATTTCTGTCCTTGAGGTATAGAAAAACTATATTAGAGTTTTCTTGTTCATGAATTTATGAGAAAACCAGATTTTTGGCATACAAGTTTCTTTATTTAAGCCCCCAGAGTAGTCGCTTGTTTCTTCATTTAGCAGTCTGCATGATAAATGATTGGAGTTGGCAATCAATTTGGCAAAATACAGCCATATATACATACAGCCATGTCAAAGTGTATTGTTTCTATAGGTTGAAAAGTTGTTTGTTCCTCCTCCTCCACTTCACATTTTGTATTTGTCTATACAAAATGTGAAGTGAAGGAGGAGGATTCTGCTGTATTCTGGCCATGAAACACTGCCTGACATCCAGCTATGCTCAGTTAGCTACTTTGATTCTAAGATTGCACCTATTCCTACCTAGCAGTAGGCATCACTGATTTCAGTGGCACTTACTTCTAAATGAGCATTCTTATTAAATACTTGTTTGCTGAAGGCTCTTGAGCTATTTCAAAGGTAGTCTGTGGCTTTTTAATTAGAAAGGTAAGCAAGCTTACAAAAAGTTATATTTAAATGGCTTGTATGATGTGGCTGTAATTTCTCTTGTGCAAGTAGATTTGTTGATATGGAACAAACCTGGATCAGAAACCATGGTTTGATGTTAATTTCAAATTCTGGTTTGTTCAGAACTTGGTAACCAGAGTTTCTAGTTCAGCCATAATGGGAAGCTGTTGTTAATTAACTCAGGAAGGCTTCAATAGGAATCGGATTGCTTGGGCATGAGGGATGTATGTGTTTCAGCAGCCAACATAAGGTCCATCCAAAATGGGCCATTAAGAACAGCTGCTATTCCTGAATTTTACTGATATATTTTTCTACATTGTTGTTGTTATTATTATTATTATTATTATTATTATTATAACATTTCTATGCCGCCCCTTGCCGAAACCTCGGGGCGGCTTACAACACGATAAAATACAATGAAATACAATAGCACATAATAAATTACCATTAAATACAAAATACAAAAAATACATTGGTTTACAAATATAAGATTAAAATTATCAGTATAACTTAAGTAAATAAAAATATAGGAGGAGAAAGAGAAGGAAGAAGAAGTTGCCCTAGCCAGATCATATGTTTTAACAATTCAAATGATGTTTAAATAAAAAGGTCTTTACCTGGCGCCGAAAAACCAGTAACGACGGTGCCAGGCGGACTCTCGTGCTATTGTGGAATTTATTTTCTATACTGCCCCTTAGTGAAGATGACTCTTTGGGCAGTTTGCATAGTCAAATTATGCTAATAAATGAACAGTTAAAATCAAAATAAACAGTACTTCAATACAGTGATGAGATTAAAATAGCAACAGTAGACCCACAATAAGCCCACAGCAGTAGCACACCAAATTAGTTCAAGGTTAGCAACAATAAAACACAGTAAAATGTAATATACTTAAATTGTTACCTGTTAAAATGTTGGGTTAATAAAAAGGTGCTGGAAGGAAGGAAAAAAAAGTGGGCTCCAGGTGCACTGCCTTGGGTTAGTATTAGAAGTGATTCCATTCTCAGGCTGCCACCTCTGAAAAGGCCCTTCTCCTAGTAGCAACCTTCTTTATTTCCTTTGAAGCTGGCTCTCCGAGAAGGCTGTCAGATGAACATCTCAGGATCCAGGTAAACATGTATGGGAAGAGGTGTTCCTTTAGACAGCCTGGCCACTTGCCATTTAGGGCTTTAAATATTAATATAAGCACCTTGAATTGAGCCCACACTTCAATTGGTAACCAGCAAAGTTGCAAAAGGACTGGTAATAAGTTCATATCAGCCAGTCCCTGCCTTGCTGCTCTATTTTGAACCAAATGAACCTTCCAGACTGTCTTCAAAGGCAGCCCCACATAGGGTGCATTATAATCCAAGTGAGAGGTTACCAGAGCATGGATCACTGTTGTGAGGCTGCAGTTGATAAAACAGCCTGAGCTGAATACCTGAACTCCTGTACTGTTCTCATGAGCTAGCACTGTTACCCTCTATGAGTGGTGCAACAGATTGAAATGGTTGTGGTTACAGTATTGCTGTGATTCTGTACCTAGGTGTGCCTGTGACGTCCCAGTCTCCTCACAGTTTGTACTAGGATAGCCATTTTCAAGGCACTAAAGACAGCTTTGAAGTTATTGTTATTAGGTGTTGCTGCTACTTGGTTGTAAATAAGCTGCCAAGATGACTTATTGGTCTTCGGTAGACCTCAAAGAAATGATAAAATCAAAAATAACTTTTTCTTTTGTTTTATGTTTAAAATAGCCAGTAGTAAAAGTTTAGGAAATCAGGTAATGATATTTTCTTCTTTTCAGCACATGCATTGTGACCTCCTTATTAGGGCTGAGTAGTTTAAAGCTTGGGGGATAAGCACATGCTGAGATTCATCATGCCAAGTTTCTGATGAATTTTAAATCTGCTTTAAATCAGGTTTATCAGGGGAATCTTAGGCGGCAACCCTAAATGCACATACTTTGCAAGTAAGCTCCACTGAATGTAGTAGGACTTACTCTTGATTAAACATATGTAGGATTGGACAGCTAGTTCTTTAAACTGAAAATGTTAATTTTGTAATCACAGATGTTGGTCTTCCTTACTTTGCCATTGCCTAAACTGTTTGTGCTAAAGGCTTGTTGTATAACTAGTGCTTGGTGTGATTATGTGAAATCTGTAAATTACGAATGTTATAACTTGAAATAGGGAGTTCATTATTGCTGCAACTTTATAGGTTAAATGCAAAACTGGGATATTACATACAGCTGCATCTTTTTACCCTTACCACGTGTCTGAATATTTTAGAGGACAACTTTTTAATTGCTCAGTTGCAACACCTAAAATGAACAGCCTTCATGTTTCTCTGTGCAGTTCAGTATCTTCCTTCATGTCCTTTCCACCTCGCATTCCCAACTCATCCTTTGCATTGTGTCTGCCTTTGTTACACTGCTGACCCTTTAGGACTGGCACTTCCCTAGATAACAGGTAGTTTAGAGTAGAACACTAGCAGCACTAGTACCCTTGGGCCATGTAAGCCAGCTTGGATTGCTTGCAAGAGGGGAGAAAATGAGTTATAAACAATGAACACACACAGTGGCTTCTTTCTGTATTTTGTATGTGTGCGTGTTGTGTGCCATGGGATTAGCATAATTACTCTCACCAGTGTGGCCTACCTCATTATGCAAACCCAAAGAGGGTGGTTTGTTGCCATGGTTTACAGGCCATCCCAGAAGCCTGAAACAGCTGATGTGATGTAGGTTTTCTAGAAAATGTTCCAGTATCTGTTGGATAGGGAAGTGTTCTGACATTGTACAGACAGAGGTCTTTCAGTCTAGAACTTCCACCATACCTCACCATCTGCTATGCTGGTTCAAGCTGATGGAAGCCATAGGTTGCCTACCCCTATCCTAGAAAATTTAATTTGCCATGTACATTTTACTTGCATTTTATAAACAAAGATTTTAAAAAGTACCCCACATTAATTTTTTTAGATCAAATTGATCACAAGTATTTGACTTGACATTTGATAAAAAAATACTTAATTTAATTTAAATGTTATACTATGCAGACATTCGTGTTTGTATACTTGTAACAGTTCAGATAAATGTACTTTTCTTGTCTAAATTTAAGGAAAAAAGGATGGTATTGAAAACTGTTAATTTAGCAACCTAAGAACTGTGTTTGATTTCCTGCTCTATTTCAGTAGAATTCATGTCTCTTTCATTATGGTTATTGGGATACCTCCAGCTTTACTGTTGCTATTTCTTAGTTTCATTTCATTTTGGGACTCATTATTTCTTTTCTATATCATGTAATAACTGGAGCTCTCTAGGTGGTATACAGCAATTAAAACCATAAAATATAATGTTAAAGTTTAAACTACAGTATAAAATGAAATATAAATCAAATAGAAAGCCTAGCAGCAGTGCAAAGACTTGAAACATAGTAAAGAATTCAAAACAACAGAAACTGAAAGACTTAAAATACCTGAGAAAATAAGGTCTTCATCTGATGCACCTATGTTGTATTTTCTTTTTTGCAAGCTGAACCTCTCTGGGAAGCTCATTCCAGAGTTGGGGTGCCGCAGCAGAAAAGGCCACCTTCTTAGTGGCTGCCTACCTTATTTATTTTGACAGGGACTCCCAGAGTGCTGAAGACAATCTTAGGGTCCAGCATGTTTATGTGGGGAGACAATCCTTCAAGCAGTCTGGCCCCAAGTAGTTTCAGGGG